TTGAAAGGGACACATTTTTGGAGGTTATATGAAAACGACCCAAATAAAAATTTTTAGTAGTTAGAGTTATCAGTGGGAAAAAATCGGAAACAAGTGGATAATTTTGTTTTCAGGAACTGAGAATGCTTAGTAAATGAGTCTTGTTTAATCTAAATTAAATATAAAATTATTTACTAATAAACCTAATGATGGAATTGCATTATCATGTAATCTAGTTAGATTCAGATTCAGATTCATTTATTTCTCAAATATAACATTACAGTATAAATTGCACTACATGTCAAAGTATAAGAAATTATATTGAGATTGTCAGACAAAAAGGAAATAATAAGAAAAGCACACAATAATTAAAAAATTAACAATTCATTATATAATATTGTTGTCATTAAATTAAATATCAAATATCATTCTCCATCAAGGATCGTCATAAGTTGACAACAATTATACAAGAGTATGTTAATGCGGTAAAAATTAGAATAAAAATAGAAAATACTGAATTCGTTACAATTTAAAGTCCATAAATTTTTTTACAGAGTATATAGGATTTTTCAAGAAAAAGTCTTTCAGCCGGCGCCTAAATGTTTCGTCAGACGGTTTAAGTCTGAAAGTAGCGGGTAAAAGCTCATAGTAAGTAGGTCCGATGACACGCGGGTTTTTCTCTGCAAGTGCCATGCGTCGAGGGACTGTGGGATGCCAGAAACATTTACAGTACCAAATGAAGACAGATTATTTCTAACGTACATTATAATTTCGTATAAGTAGAGTGAGTAGTGCGTCATTATGCGTTGCGCTACAAAGAGATTTCTGCAGGAATGTCTGTGTTTTACCCCAACCAATACGCGTATGGCACGTTTTTGCATTTGCATGACTCTATTGGCATCCGTGGAGTTACCCCATATGAGTGAACCGTACGACATCAGCGAGTGGATAAATGCAAAATAGACCTGTCTTAATGCAGAATCAGAAATGAGCAACTTCAGTTTACGCAACGCAAAGACTGCACCACTCAGTCTATCACACAGTCTGTCAACATGGCACTTCCAGTTAAGGTTCGAGTCCAGAGTGAAGCCAAGGAACCTACCCTCATTGCATATCGGCATCGGATTGCTTGCTACACACGGAGGAACTGTGAGACCTCGACTCGAGAAAAGCATGATGTTGGATTTAGTGATATTAAGCAGCAACCCATTCGATGAAAACCACCTCTGGAGCTGCTTTGCACCCTTCATCGATTCTCTGTCCCAGCTGTTCGTACGTGCGCGCGCTAACTATAACTGTTGTGTCATCCGCAAACAGTACGGAGAGGCCGGCTGTGATGGCAGTGGGAAGGTCATTTATATATAATAGAAATAGCGTGTTTCCTAAGGCAGACCCTTGAGGAATTCCTAAGTTCACACTGCCAGCAACCGACTCCAGTCTTTTACCGTTCGAGGATAATTTTACCACTTGCTTCCGATCCGATAAGAACGAGGTGAGAAATTTGTGGCTCTTACCCTGTATTCCATAATTATGTAACTTATCCAACAACAGTTCATGATTAATTACATCAACGGCCTTGGACAAGTCACAAAATATGCCCGCCATTTTATACTTCTCGTCCAGACCGGAAACTAAGCAGTCAAATATTTTATGTGCCGCGGTAATTGTAGATATCTTCTGCCAATAAGCAAATTGCTTATCTGTCAGCAATTCATAGTTCTCAAGGTGGCCCATTATGTGGGAAGATAGGCTAGATTCCAGAATTTTAGATATAGTAGGAACAATTGTTATTGGTCTGTAATTGTTCACATCACACTTGTCACCCTTCCCCTTGAAGACAGGACACGCCCTGGTATTCTTAAGCACATCCGGGTACACACCGGTGTCAAAGATAATATTAAATATAATAATAAATATAATATTTAGTGATATGTCATATTTGTCAACAGTTGAACGGGTCTGTACCACTTTATCTATAAGGCCCCGTGTGATGGTCGGTGGAGAGAAAGTTGGCACATCTGTATTGTGCAGATGTTTGCAGATGTATTGCCTACACATAGACAGATCACTTTCAATTATATATTTGCAGGCTACACTTAGAAAGTGTGAATTAAATGTGTCTGGAACCATATTTATTGGTATATCAATTTGAGAGGATAAATCTTTGAGGCTGATGTTTGATGATCTGGTTTTTATGCCTATTTCGTCATTGACTACATTCCATACTTCCTTGGATGAATTTTTGCTTTCTACCAACCTCTTTCCAATGTAGGTTTGCCGGGCACGTAACGCCTCAGGTTTAATAAGATTATAATATGTTATGATACACTCTGATATGACAGGGTTGTTTGGATAATGATCCTTGGAGCCTGATCTCGTGTAAATCCGTGTGTTTACGTGTATATTCCAATAACTCGTCATTTACCCACGGCGTAGTTTCATTTAGTCACATTATTCCGAAATCTAAATGTTTTGACCTTAGTATTTATGTAACTTTATTGTAGAAAACAATATAAAAATTTAGACAGTTCCTATTTCATTAATATAATATTATTATTATTATTTATTGTCTGTTCTACAAATTTCCTAACATGAAATTCCTCTCCCGATCCGTTTTTTTCCTAAATCCGTTTCCAAAATTCCTTAACATACGAAAAGGTTTCCCTGTTTTTAAATGAAGTTAATTTATCTTGTCATTGGCTTCAACGCTGACGGCGAAAGGCCAAAAAAAATGTATGTCAGTGTAATATGTCAAAATATTAAATAAATTTATCAAATTTACTGTTCCATAAAAATAAAAAGTGAAGTGAAATTTACTGTTAATTGTATTGTATTGATTGTAGTAGTAGTAATAGTATTGATCTCACAGGACATTGGCGAAATCGCCTTTTTTTTGTATAATTTTTATAATAATACTAAACTACCGTACATACTTAGACGTACATAGTTATTTTTACTTGACATTGGCATAATTATTGATTATTTCAATGGGGCCATAACATTTAAAAGAAGAAGAAGACTGTTAATATCTATAGTGTTGCCATAAATAAAATTAAAATCATAGTTACAAATGTCACAATAAAATAAATAGATAGATTCGTTTGTAAAACAACGACGTTCGATCAGCTGCAGATTCGTTTTGTTTTCCTTTCCTCTGTGTTTAATTGCAAATTCATATCGTTGTGCGTTTGGTCGCTAATAGCAGTATCCACCGGTGATACGGTAAGGCATTCACGAGTGTGGTTTGTTATACCGCAATCGATGAACGACGCGCAGTCAGCAGTCACGCGAATGGGAAAGGAAACTATATTAAAGCACCCATAACTACTTAGTACGTCGTCGACCCGCCGTCTCAAACTATTGCCAGATAAATAATCCACATTTTGATCACCAACTAGAAGAAACCTTTTCTTTTCGTCAATGAGCTTATTCAATAATAATTCCAATTTTTCTAAATAAATGACAATATTGCCCTTTCCAGTCCTGTATAGCGAAATTATAATCAATTTACAATAGGTAATCTCAATAGCTGTACATTCAAAGTGATACTGAACGGAGTGGTCCCGCAGGTCATTTCGCCGTTTATATGTAATACCGTCACGTACAAACAGCGACACCACGCCGCCGCCGTGAGCGATTTGTGTGCGGCAGTAACAATCTGCCAGTGTATGTGTGGGTACACAGCCTCACCCGTTCAATCTCACTTTTCTTGCACCATGTTTCACTCAAACCAAGTACGTCAGGTTTTTCAGCACTACATAATAAATTTAACAGTGAAGTTTTGCCACACATAGACCGTACATTTTGGTGAATAATTACAAATTTAGTGCCTACTTTAAACGTGTTGTGACACGTTTCGTGGATAAGTTTTTTGGCTGCACAACATTAAACGGACGCACTGATACTCCCTCAGGCCAGTTTTTAATATTTCTGGCAGTCCTCAGTCTGTCTGCAGGTACATTCAGACGAAACGACGAGCAGCTACCTCGGGTGACGACCAGCTGCTCACACACAGGCACAGGGATGCCCATCTGAGTGCGCACATGATGCACGACGTCCTCAGCAGTGGTATCCACACTGAGGTTAAAGATATGCAGGCTGACGACACGAGGGGCAGCCGCACGGAGTCCCGAAGGGACGGAGGCCCGCAGTGGAGTGGCTACCGGTTCAGGCTGCGCACTAACGCATTGCATTAGTTTACAGTTACATTCAAAGTTATGTTAAAATTTGACTCTTGAAAATGAAGTGAATAAAATTGAAGATGGTCTGGGATGTATTTGATTCAATGTTTATATTCGGCACTATTATACGGTGGTATGATTTCCAACCATTCTTTTTTCTTTTTTGACTTGTAGGTTAACTTGAAATAGTAAAAATAATAATAGGTAATAAAATAATATGTAATAAAAACAACACTATCTCAAAATAATCGTTAACAATAATCATCAAAATATAAAAACAAACAGGCAATCTGAAGAAACCAAAGCAAAATTAGGCAAGATTTATGAATAAACTACTTAAATATGTCTAATTACATGAGATACTTGGGCTTTTGCGTGATTTATATACAGAAAAAAAACATGTGTCTGTACAATGTTACATTCGGTCGATCTTCGCTTTTTCAAATGCCACATCCCGTAATGCTGCAGCGACGAATTTTTATTAATACTTAATTGTTCTCACTGCCAATATTTTTTATCCATTTTATTACAATACATGCGAATAAATAAATAAAATACTTTGAAAAACATTTGTTTTGACATTTGATGTACTTCCCTTTGACAACCGTATCACGTACCTCATGTACTGCGAAATGGACACGGTTGGCATTTAAAATGACGTTACGTATTATCGATTCCCGTGTTTGACAAAAACCAATGTAATGCTATCTTTTTTGACTTAAGACGGCAAGCAAGAGTTAAACAAAGACAATAACATGTTTATGTTTTCAACGTCGAAATGCATCATATACATATAACGTCTGATTTATATATGTCAACATAACATGTCCTTTAGTTTCCACAGTCAGGCGTAGCCCCAATGATGAAAATGAAAAAGGAAGAGACTAAAGATGTCGTCAATCTACGCTTTGTTCAACGTCAACAAAAGGCAATAAATAAGAATATTACACTATAAATAGAGAAAGGCAAGGAACTTCCTCAAATTGAATCAATTGAGAACACCGTAACATTTTTTTAAATTTGTGATTGGTGGCTATTAAACCATATGCTATACAACAATGGAAGAAACTGTCAGTGACGATAGTACCTCAAAAAAGTCTAAAGATCCTGTTTGCAAATGTTTACACCATGGTCCTAAATGCACATGTTCCATTTGCGACTATAGTCCCAAAATATCAGAGCATGTTTGCGTTTGTTCGCAACATGCGTCTGATTGCAAATGTGAGATTTGCATACGTACTTCTGAAATACGTGATCGGATTTGCGTCTGTACTAGCCATGGATCAATTTGTACATGTAAGATTTGCGTAGCTACTCCTACCGTAAGAACTTCCAGTTTAACTGGTCCTGTTTGCGTCTGTGCAAGTCGTGGTTCTGTTTGCAAATGTTTGACTTGCATCCGTTCTCCACCGGTATCTGATTTTTGCATCTGTGCAAGCCATGGATCTGATTGCCAATGTCAGGTTTGCATTCGTACGCCCACCGTATCTGATCGTGTTTGCATCTGTGCGAGTCACACTTCTGCATGCAAATGTCCGATTTGCATTCGTACTCCCACCCTTACTTCAGAAAAGATTGAAATATGTGGTCGAAAACTACAGATTTTAAGTACTGTATCCAGGACTGAAAACTATTTAAGAGATCATCGCATACCGGAATTGATCAGCTTCCTTTTAACCAAACTCTTAGCAGATGGTTCCAATAAACCGATAGCATATTTAGTCAAATTACTGGATGATTGTATGTTATACCGGGCTGGACAAGGCCTTCCACCAGTTTTGTATGAACAAAGGTTTGTAGTTTTGTATTTATAAGTATGGTGGAGTATGTACTTAGTTTATTTTGGGCAAAGGTTTCATAGTGTCCATTATATATTTAACTGAGCATAGAATGAATTCCAGATTATTTTTATTTTTAAGGCATTTGGAAGCAATAATTAAAAGTTTCGATCCTGGACGACGGGGCTGGATAAGTGCAGATCAGTTGCGTCGCATGTATACTACAGTAGGTCTCAATTCTACGGATATTCCGGAAGATGAAAGGATTCCTACCGATGATTTGCAGAAGAAGTTGACATTAGATCAAGAAATTGAGTTATATGACTTAGTAGTGGCTGGTACAACAGCTCATGAACTCTCTACTATTAGTAAAACCGATTCTAATCCGGTTTAACCATAAGTAAGTATTTATACTGAAACATCTAGTAATATTTTTGTGTATATTTATTATAAATTTAGATAATTATGTACGGTATTTGGCTATATCACTTTCAAACCTGCAAATATGAACACTGTAATATACACAAGTGTATATACAATGTTTCACAACAGACAATTGTCTAAGTGTAGCTTACATAAATATGTACCGTAGGTGCCTAGTAGTTAGTTAATTTATTAAACGTAGTTATCAGAGTGTTGGTATCTCTCAAAATCTACACGTCTCTTTATGGTAGATGGCGCTAATACATACATACACTTGTTCTTTTTCACATCGGGGTAGGCAGAGACCACGCTCCACTTTCATCGTGACACATCTTTTGACAGAGCTATTTTGCACAGCTGAAAATAGTTCAAAGACATTTGTTTTTTGTTTGAAATAGATTTTTTTAAAGTAAAAACTTATTTTTCTTCATTTCCCAATACTGCGTTTTTTGATGCTGTATGCAATAACTCGTTTTTCTTTCAAAGTAACCCGTGTCTGGTAGTGACATAGATTTAGTATATAGTACCTACATGGGTAGTATATGGGTAGTGGCACATTTGTAGATTGAATTCGAACAGCATGTATGCGCTCGTATAGCGCTAAGAGAAGAACCAGATTCGATAGCTTGTATAACTTTTTGTTATTATAAAATTGTGTTTCATATTTTTTCATATTATGTTAGTTATTTGTTACGTTGATATTATTGTTAGAATTGTTATGTCCTTCTACACTCAGCCAAATATGTTTAGGTTTATGAGTGTAAAGTAAAACACACAGTTTTACAAACCATATTGTAGTATTGGGGTAAAATGTTTAATGCTTTTGTAACTAAGAAATAAATAAATAAAAAATATCTATGCTTAGTTTAATTTACTTTTCTTTAACGATGGAGGAAAAATATAGTGATAACTACTACAAGTCGGAGATGGGTAAAAAAGTTTACGAATAGGTACAAGGCATAGATAATACTATCTATTAAGTACATACCTACCCATATACTAAATCTGTGGTGCAAGGCCTCTCGTGCCCATTTCATCTATAGAATAGAGCAATTACAGACGATGACTTTTAGCAGCGCGTCTGCTTGCCATTATATAGTAATCAATGTGTTGTGATAGAGTCGTCTATTACCTTTGCACAGTTTGCACACTAGCACGACATAGGTGTATAAAATCAATCATGAGGAACATATTTGGTGATATTACAGGCACATGTCAACTTATGTCTCAGGGTGACGGCCGGCCTTTAGAGGATGGAAACGGCCGGCCCCGTCCTTTTATTATTATTAAAATAATAATAATAAAGAAAAAAAAATCTTTTACATTTCTCATAGATTAAACCCAATACGTAGTTCTTTTGTTATGTGGTTGAAAGTGTTTATTTCATATTGATACAGGTGCTAGTAGATGTTTACAGTGTTTGTATGATGTCAGAGAAGAAATAAGTAATGAGAACGGACACTCTCCGCCCCTCCCTAGCTTTAGATAACGCACCACACCATGCACATTGCGGTTACATTGACTGAACGAGTACAAGGCTGTCGTCGAGCCGTTTTCGCGCTAAAACGGCTTTGATATTTGAATATAGTGTAGAAATTGTACGTTAATATATAACATCATTTTACGTTACTATTTATAACGGTCGTGAATTATG